ATTGTTATAATCTTGAGGTCAATGAAAGAATTAGTGCTGAATGCAGACAATAAAACGATTAAGCGATTCAGGGCAGTTCAGCGACGGGGGGGGGGGTAGGAGCCAGATATACTTTCACTGCTCCACTAGTTTCAGTTTACATGTCTCACTATTGTAATACCTGTCAACTCTTGTAAGCTCGTGACATAGCTCTCCAGATGGCTCGACATGTCGATGGGAAGAAGCGAAAGGGCAAAATGCACCCTCCCCGTCGCCGATCTGCGCCAGCAATTCAGAATTCTGAGAAACTTATTTTCCAACGCTACACCGTCTTAGCTCAGAAATCTACCGCAGTGGAAAAAGGGTTCAATGGAAAGACGAGAAATCTAGCGCGTGGTCCATGATGATGGCATTCTATGGCCGATTATAATCGATGGTATCGGATTTCATAGCAGAATATAGCGAACACAAAAATTTCTATAGCAATAATACAAACTGCAACTCGCGATATGAATGAAAAAAAGCAGTAAAGAAATTGGAACATGTAAGATCCGCTGAAAATTTCAGTTTTACCCATACCATGTGTATCATGCAACAACAAGTAGCAGAGTGGAACCGCTCTCTGTTACTTTTTGTACTTCAAAATTGTCAGTGAACATTTCCATACCCACGAAACAACTTCCACTACTTCATAAGGATAAAATGTTGACAGGCTACTGACAGTTGTTTAGAAAAACGATGTTGCGATCAAAAGATAGGAGGAAACGCAGTACGTCGTCCCGCAAAAAGTTTACTTCTTCCTTCTTCATTCAATTTTAGTAATTCATCGTTAAGACAAAGGTGTTGCGCAGGTGCGTCGACTAGTATACATACCACACGCGTTTAGACGGGAGTTATCAATCCGATGATACTGCCCTGTTTCCATCAAGCACTTTACCCTTCGGGGACTCAGATTCGTCTGAGAAGCTAAGAACCTGACCTGCACAAAGGGTACACCATCGTGATCTGCGAGATTGTCAGTCACGACCTTTCCCGCAACACCTATCTAGCAATTTGCACATTCCAGTTTTTATCAAGATTTTCGTCGACGGAGGGTAACATGAAGGCAGGGAAACCGCGAAAGTAACAACCGGGAAAATGTTTCGCCAAACGAGCCGAAATTTTCTCTTTAAGAGTACGAAACCCTTCACCACGGCAACGACGCCCTTCCGGTGGAAGTAGGATTCCCTGCGTGTTTCACCAGAGACGCTGTAAACCTGTCTGTGCACGGCTGACCGGTGGCGCTCCAAAAGGCCTTGATTAATGGGAGAAATGTCGCTTATCTTTCAACCCACAAAAACGTTGAGTGAATGCAGTTTGATGGTCAACAAAAACTCGAAAGCATGAATGCGGCTCACGTCCCTTCGAGAGCAAAAGTTCTAGCAAACTCAGCGATTCCGCGATAAACTTCACATGGCAGATACTGGCAGCGATGCGCGCAGGCGGTATCTTCTTCAAAGTTCGCAAGAAATAATTTTTGTAAAGTAGACCAGAAATCAAGACACTTTATAACCTTTTCTTCCTCCACCGCCTTTCATGCTCTCGTTGGCAGCACTGAACGATTCAGATTGCAATGCCGTGACATCGCCATCAGTTCCAGCCTCAAGCGCTTCAATTTTCGCACGAACTGAAATTATAGATCACATGGAAGGTGCCGAAGAAATTCCGAAACTATGAGCACTCACGGGCACAATTTTCTGCGAATAATGCGTCGAACTCCTTGTCAATGAGTCCAAAAAGATGGTATAACCTTGCCCTGGAAGTTAAAGATGGCACGGATCCTTTGAAGTGGATGCAGTAGAATAATGACTAAACCGCTCCAGTGTTCAACAGAATGATCACCAACCTCACTCAAGAAAAGGATAACTCGTGGCAAACTTTCAAAGCCCCAGCAAATATAGCGCGAGCAGCTGTTAACTTGATAAATAGCAAGTCTCACATTGCGTGACGAGCAGAAACTACCTGGCGTTCCACTTGGTTTTAATTATAGCAACATTTCATTTATGTCACTACTAATCGAAGTCCTGAAGCAGATACGGCGCAGACAACGTCGCCTTATAGCGTCGTCGCCAAGAGCACTTCTTGAGGTTAGTGAGTGAGAACGCGGCAGGGCAACTAGACTTCTCGCGTGTGCTCAGCAAGATGGTCCTCATCCCTTCGTTCCGAGAACACAGTCCTAGAGACGAGTGGAATTAGGGATTTGGCAGTAGCGAGCTGCTCGCACAATCACAGCGATAAGAACTGCCTTCATACTCTGCTACTGAGCATTCGGCAGACTCGCCGATCGGCAGACTCTGAGAGTGGCACGACGAAGGAAGCACTGGCATCGATCTGGTGACTGCGAAGATGGTGACCCGGCGACAGGGATAATCGCATTTCCAGCGATCGTGCGCTAAAAAATTGGATGGGTACTGGTTGGTGCCGACCGCTAGCGATTACGGAGATTTGGCGATCCGGCTATTTGAGAGACTGAGCGATCCGGCGATCTGAGAGAACTAGAAGATTTGGCACCATCCGAGATCTCGAGTTTCTCAGAATTGCTCAACCTCGGCAATCACCAAACCGAGCCTTATACTTTACTCGTCACGTACTTCCTCAAACCGCTGAGTTTCCTCAGTCGCAAAATGAACGCGACCTAAAGTGGGAAGTATTTATGAACGCACTCATACGACAACAATCGACGCGGCCTGGCCTGGTACCGCCACAGCTGCCCTCCCCTCTCCAAACAATTGAGCGCTTAATTCTTTCCTATTTCAAGAGTTACAAAGTTTCTGACCTATGAGGCGCAGTAGTGTCGCCCACATCGTAATCAGCTGGGGCCTGAACGACATCTGTATCAGTGTTGGCACGTAGTCGTGGTGGATTCGTTGGGCGTTGCGAGGACATGTGACTGCAAACCGAAATGTCTACAAGTTAACAAATGGCACATCGCGATTAAGCTGAATGGAGAAAAGTTAGGGTGAAACCCTGCTGCGTGCGAGTCCAACGCGAAACAATCTCTTCAATCACTTCATTCATTCGGAAAACAATTTGTACATATTAACAACGTGTAAAATTAATGAAAACATTATGAGAACGTAGTCAAGGAGTCCGAAATACCATAAAAATATTTGAATAAGAGAAACAGACAAACAAAAGATCAGAAGGAAACAAGTTTCTGCCAAGCATAGACCCATAGCACATACATAGACCACGAAACTCCGCTTTTCTAACCATTTTAATAGACAAGTCACACTAGAAAAGAGCGCCAGGAAATGCTCAACCAACTGACTTCACGTAATCAGCGCTCGCGACCTTATAGTCCCGATTGAAATCCAAGATAAATGGTGCATTCTGTCTAAGGAACGCCATTGAAATCAAGGAGGCACGCAATACGCACCATAAATTCATAATCATCCGTCGAGCTTAATCGTAGCAAGATCGGTAGCTTCACCAACAACCGCAGTAGATGACAAAGACCATAGAATTTCGATGGACGAAGCATTTCAGGTCGCAAAGGACCACCTTCCTGAATGAAAATTCGGAAGTGGAACTACCGTCATGTTGATAAAGAAATGAGGCCCTATTTACCCATTACTTTCAAAAACAGGCCGGTTTTGACCGACTTTTTTGCTGCGTTGGCAGAATTGGCTAAAAATTTGCTCCCTGGGGTAGTTTGACCTCCTGAACATGAATATCACATCCGCTCGGCACGAAACCTCCTGGCGCCCGCGCCACAGGCGCCGGCGCCAAATGCCCCACATCACCGGCTCCTGTGGCGCGGGCTTCAGGGAGTTTCTGGCCTGCGAGTGTGATATTCGTATTCAGGAGGTCAACTACCCAGGAGACAATATTTGAGCCAAATCTGTCCACGGAGAAAAAAGTCGGTCAAAAACTGGCTCAATTCTGGATGGTTGGGGCAGTAAAGGGTAAATAGTCCCAAAAATGATTCTCGAAAACTGGGTACTGGACTCAACAATACTCACCAACAACTGGTATACCACAAGAGGTGGAAGTGACGGTCTGGCATCGCGAGCCTGCCTTCGCCTACGTCCTGAAGTCTCCGGCGTTTTCACCCCCTCCCCATCAAATTTCTCCTGCTCACGCTTTGCCAAAGCTTGGTACTGAGGCTTCTCATATTTGTACAGCAGCTGATAGCCAAGGACAATGTCAAAATAATCTCGTAGATTGAGAGCAGTAGCGCAAAGGGTGTCCACACCAGGAATACGCGTTGTTCCGAATTCGTGTCTGCAACACATGTCTATACCTAGGTTTCAAAAAATTGAATAAGACAATAACCTATAAAGCAGAACAACTTGGAGAAATTTTCTAAACTCTTGGAGACACCCCCTCCCCCCGTTAATAACAAGATGTCATGAAGTAAAAGCAGAAAAACCTGCGCCAAATACCTAATGCAGAACCCCATGCTAAACCGCAAGCGTATGAGGCGAAGGAGAAAAGAGTGTTCAGTTCTTACTTGCTCGTTTCGACTCCTTAGCCTTATCAGCTCACGCTTACAATTGAAAGTTTTTTAGCAAAACAACATCACCACCATAAGCCTTTAGAAATGAAAGCTGGGCTTTGCAGCGGCCAGTTGGCGGGGACGTAGGCCCGTCGCTAGCGCACAACGCTATCCTCACCCATTTTTGAGCTGCGAAAAAAGTGGTACATCCTTCACGTTTGCGGACAGAACTACCAAGCCCAAGGAAGGCATCCGACCATCAAACGTAAGCGCGCTTTTATCGTAAGAAACTACACACTCGTCAGATCATAGAACTAGGAGCTAGTTCACTTCGAGATCCATGCAGCTCCCAGACCCACCACAAATCCGTCGAAAAGCATACTGAGCTTCTCCTCAGAGGGCAAAACCTCTATGTATCGGCACTCATAACATGTAACCGAGGGGGCTTTGCTGAATAAGAACAGCGCGAAAGTTCTTATAGCAGAGGTTCTCTAATTACCCTCGGGTTTTTAACAATCATGCGAGTAGTGACAAATTAGAAAATAACTCACACCACATCGATTTCAACGTTTTGCGGGAATAGATTCCTAGTGAATATTAGGTATTTCTCAACGATGTTGAAGACATTCACTTTTGCAGGTAGAACTGCTAGTTTTCCATGTACCACAATAGCGTTATATTCTTCAACCAGGATCTTCTTGAACAATTTCGGCAAATCGCTCAACATCTCGACTTGCGCGTTAATTTTTGGGCCCGGCGAAGCCAAGACCGTCGCCTCTGGAAACATTCTTCAGGAACCATGCTCATTCTGATGTATCTTTTTGTGTATTGACTCTCGTTTGTAAAAAAGAAATTTTCAACCGAACACGCTACGAAAACGAGAACGTAATTAGGTAGTATCTCACCTGGTTCACTTTTTTGTACTGGAGTATCCGAAGATTTTGAGACAGGACCACGACGATCGCTATAAACACTGGGTGCATGGCAACTGCTTCCTAGAAATCAAGTTCATTTCTTTATGGAAAAGGTGAAAGCTCTGAAAAACACTTTTTGCACTGCCCACGGTAAACTGTTGGCCCCTAGAGGTGAATTACTTTATCAAACTCGGGGTATTTAGAAAGGGTAAAAATCAATCATTTCTTTGAGCATTTATCACTTTGAACACTTGCTTCAAGAATGTTTGCTTGGGGAATGGCTTACCATTAGATGTAGGCGACAAGCCGCGAGTTCGGTCTCCTGAACCGCGTGATTTTTCTGGGCGAAGTTTGTCTTGAACGGACATTTTGCTGGTCCCTGTCGATCAATGACTTCTGCAGATCAGATCTTTGAAGTCCAGTGACGCAGCAGTGCGACTCTCACTTCCAGCTGACAAGTGTCTACAGGTCATACCAAGATGGAACGTGTAATTTAACAGGAACTAACATGAGAAATCGGCCGAAGGCCAAAGCGCAAAATACGGGTATGTGACAAGAGAATCGCAATTCGTGCGTCAGTGGACGTCGCGTGCGACGTCGCATCCACTGGCAATTCGACAATTTGGGGTGTATTGTTCGAGAATAGACAACAATACAAAAACCATGTATAGACATAAGTGTCGTATGTGTCTACATGAAATCCGATGCTCCAATCGAAAGGGTAGTGCAATTAAGGAAACGTCGCGCCCACTGCCGCGCGCGACGAAGCGGCAATTTACGGTTCTCTTGCCCGTCTCCCGCAAACGCCCTCCCGAACAGCTCCAATTTCTACATTATTTAGGCTCTCTTCTCTGCCTAGCATTCTATGACTACTCATACTGCCACGCAAAGATATCAACCCGTGTTTTCAAGTAATCCCTAAACGCCCTCCCTTCTTCAAGTACTTTGACCCTTAGCTTCTAGGTTTCTCCCTATTCCAGAATCACGAAAGCACTGCGATTCTTACAAATGACAGTTCTGACGCCCCACTTGTTGCCCCGCCCACCGAAATCCAAAGGCAACTTTCTGTCACGAGTTCAGTTTTTACTCCGTGTTTTTGGCTTTTTTTCACAGTCGGATGGTATCAGTACCCGATGAAGCGAAGAGACGAGTGAGCCAGAGGCGGCAGGCTATCGTTTTGCTGGCATAAAACGAGCACATCCGAAGAACTCGTTCACAGTGACTGTCAACTGTCCTTATTAGAGTATTTTTCCGGACTTTCATGTGCTTTTCTTCCTTGGTAAGCCACTTAGCGTTTATATTAGGTATAGGTTTGTACTTGATCGCCACTATAATATGCAACCGCGGGGTTTGTCTTTAGCTTTGGGAGATGTTCGAACACCATTCAAAACGCTGCGTTCATACTTTGCGTCAGAGATGAATTGATGAAATGAAGAACTGATGAAAAAAATTAGCTACGTATTGATCCATTCCGATCGATATGTATCTAATCCTTTTCGTCAATCCTGCCACTCTTTAGCACGTGAGATCGATTCCTATGTGTCTATTTCGTCAGTTCTTCACTATCGCAAGGTATGAACGGGGCATTATTGTTAGATGCAGATTTACCCTATTTTCTGGAGTTAAGGCGCACAACGCCGCGGGTGTCCTTTCTCACTTCAATTCTGTGTCTTTTTGTCCCTTCTTATTCATATTAATGACCTATATTCAAGATGAGATACTGAGATTTTCAAAGCATTTTCGATTTTGAAGGATTGAACCATCCAAGACAGTAGAACATTTGTTGTTTCCACAACTTTTCGCAACTCTGCGAAGTGCGCCTTATGCCTCGAAAAATAGGGTGGCGCACTTGTGCTTCTACGAACTAAAGTAGTGGAAATGAGTACCTGCACGATCACTTGGTGTTGATGCACGACTTCCATTTTCGCTCTTTCGTGCGTCATCGTCTTCTAACTTCTGTTTCTTCCGTTTCGTCTTAGCAGCACTTGCCTCTTGTATGTCTGCTTTCGCTTTGGCGATATTCGCTTCGGTCAACGGCAGGAACATTTCAGGGCATTTTGACTGATGAATTCGCTCGTCGTATCTTTTATGCCAACCCTGGTAATGTACTGTATACACCATTTCACCATGCTCTTCTTCGACATCGGTTATTTTTGCTTCATAGAAGAACAATCCATGCTTGCACAGCACCTTGTCGT